GCTAAGCCGTGCAGCGAAAGTGGAGATGTTAACTTAGGTACGTTCACAAAAATGCTTCGGGAATGCAGAACAAACTTGGTGTGTGTTAGTCACGTAATGCTTCTTGAAGGAGACGGTTTGGGGTTAAGGGCCTTAGAGATCTCACTCACTCACTCAACAAACATTTATTGAGCCCGGCTGTGTGTCAGGCCCTGGGCTAAGTGCTGGAGATTGTTTTAAATGTATGACATCAACTTCCCTGTCCAGTGGTAGAGGTGTTACTGCCTGGGGGCTTCCCAGAGGGGGGGAACACATGTGCTAACCCCTGAAGAATGAATAGTTTCCTAGAGAGCAGGAGGTAGAGGGACCAGAGCATTCCAAGGGGGAGAGGCCTGAAAAACACAGAGTGGCAGGTAGGACTGAAAGGGTTGAAGGAGGAATGCAAAAGAGGAAACTGCTACTAAGCAAGGGAGGCGAGGCTATATGACCCTGGGATTTGCTGCTTTTAATGGATTCAAGTCAAAGTACGTCATGGCTCCTGAAGGGTTTGCAAAGTGACTTCAAGACCTCTGTCTTTAATCTTCGAAAAGCACCCTAAGACCTCAAAATGGGAGGAAAATCCACTGATAACATCAATTCCTACCAAACCCTCACCTGTAGGGCATGCAGGCTATGCAGGAAGTTGTGAGCGCTTAGCAAAGAATGTGGGGAGCGCTGGGGTGAGCCTGGGTTAACCTAGACTAATTGTTACAAATTAAATTGTTCTATTGCTAGGTTGGGAGGACAGGGCAATGTGTAAACACAGCATATTGAGATTGCGGTAAAACACAACAGAGTCCCTGGAGATCCTCGTGGGAATGCATGGCCAGTAGGTCTAAGTGGGCCTGGAGCTCATGGAGCAGGCATGCCAGAGTGCCCATTAATTAACTGGTGTTGGTGTGGTGGTAGCTCCCTTGGGGGCTCGAGTACCATGGACTTGTTCTTGCCTCTGTCCTGGTCTACATTTTAGTCAATCTCTTGTATGAGAACAAACAAAAAAATATGCTTATGGAATCTGCAGGTGAAACACTTCAAAGAGGGATGCTCAATATGACAGATGAAAAAGAAATCAAGATTAAAATTTATCTTCAGAAACTCAAATGAGCCAATGTGAATGAGATGACTGTGGAAGAAATAAACACAAGATCCTGCATTTGGATTTAAATGTGATTTACACATGTTCTGGACAGGGGAGACCTGGCTTAGAAAGAGATCATAGGAAAATAGTTGGAGAGTATGGCTGAATTCCTTTTGGCAAGGAGGCTTAGAGAATCTCATGGATGTTCTGGGCCTCCTTCCCAGAAAAGTGCACATAGGCACATAGAAGCAGATTCTTCTCATTGGAGCATCTGAAGACTGGAAAACCCACAGCAGCTGGAAGGGGTACGGTGATCACTGCTGGGTGGTGGACCACAGCTGACGTGTCCCAGACTGTTCTGGTGGCAGCATTTCACTGGTGATGTGGGCACACCGTACTGAGCCGGGCAGGATGGAGAAGGCTCTGGAGGGCACCCCCTGCAAGGGACTGTGGAAAGGATGGTGTCTATTCAATCCTGGAAGAGGGGAGGCAGGGGTCCTTCTTCAAGTAGGAGGTGGAAGACAGACCAGGTCTGTCCAGGTCACTCCAGAGGCAGATCCTGGACCCACAGGTTCCAGGTCATGGGAAGGCAGGTTGGAACTCAAAAATTGCAAAGGATCTTTCCAGCAATTCAGCAGTGTTAGCTGATGAGGGTGTGGCCAATGAGAGCAGGCCCATCGAGTCCACCGACGGTTCCCACCCTGGCTGGAGAGAGAGGACGCATGGCCCCCAGGTCCCTTCCGAGTCCGAGTTTCTCGGGTTCCACGCCTCGGGGAGTTCGGGGAGAGAGAGGAGAGTTTAACCCAGGGGCCTAACCTGCTGTCACTTCCCCTCGGGGCGGTGTCCCCGCCAGTGTCCCAAATTCCTTTTCCTTACTCATTTAGCCACCAGCCTTTTACCTGCCAGGGACTGTGACAGGCGCTCCCCCGAGGCACGTGGCTGATGGGCACCAAAGTGGAGGCAGGTGGAGGGAGTGGCGGGGAGCTTGGGGGGCCTTGGGGGGGCCCACAGAGGCCCGCTGTGCTGGTGGATACTGAGCCACCCCTCTTCCCTGCAGCTTCCAAGGGCTGCATCAAGTGCGAGGCGCCCTGCCCGGAGGACTGGCTGCTCTACGGAAGGAAATGCTACTTCTTTTCTGAGGAACCGAGAGACTGGAACACGGGCAGGCAGTACTGTCATGGCCACGAGGCCGCGCTGGCTGTGATCCAGAGCCAGAAGGAGCTGGTGCGTGCCGGTGGGGCGGGGACCTTCGGGGACAGCCCTGCCCCAAGGACCTGGTGTCCCCTGTGACCTGTTTCCAGAGCACAGCCTGGGGTGGGGGCTGCAGGTGGGCTCCATGGGGTCTGAGCAGGTCCACGAGGGGCTCTTGTTTTCACTGCTATTGTCAAGGCCAACTATGTCCACCCGAGGCTGGTTTGCTGAGCTCAACTCAGTATTGAAGCGTGAGCATTACAAATTATACCCGCACCTGTGAAATGAAAAATCACGTTGGCTTCTTCTACTAGTCCAAATCAGGGCCTGATCTCTCATTTAACACCCCAAACAGTTATATCACTAGAAATGTGAAAGAAACACAATTAGTGGGTCTCTTGGCCATTTGGGGTTTTGAGGGCAACGAGTCATGCAAATCCAAATTAGCAGAAAATCTGAGTCGCTTCTGTTTTTCTCTGATACACAGTCTGATAGCTCCTTTCGGCAGAGAAAGGCCCAGGAATATGCGGGTAGAAGGACATCCAGCCTGAGCTTTGAGATGTGTCCCAGATAATCCATCAAGTAGGCAGTTCCAGCCTTCCTGAAAGTGAGGAACGCAGGCATGCTGGCCCACTGAGCTAGGAGACAAACCCTGGTCCAGGCTTCCTGGCCCAGTGGTGCACTCCCAGAGCCCGGGTCCCTAGGAGGCCATTGCAGGCAGCTCCATGTGAGTGCAGGGTGTCTGTAACCCCAGCTCCTCACTCTTGGGATGCAGTGAGGCGTCACCCTCTCCGTGTCTACGCATCTTGGGAGCCAGTCTTCCAAGCTGAGGTTAGTCTGGGGATGTGTGAGCAGTCGGGAGACCGCACCTGACTCTGAGGTTTCCCTCTTTCCTTGGTGCAGGAATTCATGTTCAAGTTCACACGGAGGGAGCCCTGGATTGGTCTGCGCAGAGTGGGGGACGAATTCCACTGGGTCAACGGGGACCCGTTTGACCCAGACACGTGAGCTGAGGCTTCATCTTCTGGCCAAGGAGCTTAGACTGGGGAAGCCATAGCCTCCCAGACGCACCTCCTGAAGAACCTGGTTTTGTGCTAGCTGGAGCCACTCACCTCTAGGGTCAGGGGTGTGGGACAGAGACCCAGTCATGATAATGGCTTTACTACTCTCTCCCTGGTAAAGTCCAGCCTGGTTTGGTGGCCCTGCTCCACGTAGGCAACAGAGCTTCCTGCTGCTGGAAAGGGCCCAGGCCCTTTCCATCTTGTGGCTCCCCAGTCCATCTGCACGGCTCAGTGTGGCTCAGGGAAAGGGAGGACGTGCCCTGGACATCCCTCTGCATTGGCCAGAATTTAGCTTCACGGCCACACCTGACTGCAAGGGAGGGTGGGAGGTGGGGCCTCTGTTCTGGGCAGCCACGTGTCACCTAAACACTGTGGGAGAAAGGGGATCTGAACCCTGGGCACCAGGAGGGTTCCCTTAGAGAAAACACCTCTTGAGGGTGTCGGTGGTGCGTGCAGTGGTGGTATTATTTGTGTGGCCCAAGTGGTGTGGCGGGGAGTGTGTGATGGGTTGGTGGGTGTGCAAAGCCAGGGACTGTTTGCGGGGTGATGGTGGCAGCAGTCACGGGTGTAGGGACAGTTTAGGCTTAGGGAGACGCAGAGCAGCACACACAGGGGAGTAAGAACCTCAGCTTCTGATGTAGACTCTAAGGCTGGAGGACTAGGCCCGAGGAGCCGGGCGGGGGCACAGCTGCTGACCTGATGTGAACTGCGGCCCGTGACAACTCCTTCCCTGTGCCGGCTTCTCCCTGTCTCCTGCACCTGTCTTTGTCCTCACTGCCTCTTCCTTGTTTTCTTTTTTTTTTTTCCTTCTCTTTCCTTGTCCTGCCCTCATCCCAGATCTGTTCTTAGAGCTGCTGAGAACGTCTTGCCCTTGCTGCTCCCACCTCTCCCATTCTGGAAGCTTCCTGCTCCCGGAACCCAGGGAGCCCTGGAGGCTGGGGTCCCCAGAGCGCTGACTACCTGACAACCAGCGGGCCTTGGGGCCACGCTTCTCTGACATCGAGGTGGTCCTGGCCCCCCCTTCTCCCTCTTGGGGTCCTTCTGATGCCCTCTCTTATGAGACCCCAGCTCCAGCCTTGGCAGGGGGCTCAGGTCAGGGTGACCAAATGAGGTGAAGAAGAAGTGTTGAGATTCAAAAGGGATGATGTTAGGCAGGGAGAACCCCCCCTGTGCTAGACACAGGAGGTGCAGGCAGGGTGCTGTGGGGAAGGTGGGTGTGTGGAGCGTGGTCCTAGACGGGGCCCCGGGTTCCTGGGATGAGTGAGCTGAGCCCGACAGGAATGGCGGAGCCGGATGGAGGAGTGCAGGGTGCGTCCCGGGACACACCCGTGGGCATCACCGGGGGGCTGGAGCCGTGATGCACTGTCTGGAGGCGACGGGAGCCATGCTAGCAAGGTCTGTGGGGGCCGACTGTCCCGGAAGGCCGCTACAGAGGGAAGGACAAGTCATAGGGCCTCTGGGGCTGCCCAGTGACGGGCCGCGTCTGCCAGGTCATGAGTGCCTGGTCTCTTCTCTCCCCGCCACAGATTCCCCATCTCGGGCCCGGGGGAGTGCGTCTTCGTGGAGCCCACCAGGCTGGTGTCGACGGAGTGTTTGATGACCCGGCCCTGGGTGTGCAGCAAGATGGCCTACACATGAGGTGGGTCAGGCCAGGGGCGGCCCTCCAGCCAGCCTCCGAGGCCTGCCAGCCCCGGGCTCGTCTCCAAGCGAAGCAGTGAGGAGGTTGCCTCCCCCACCTGGGCGCTCCCCCAGGCCCCAGAGTCTTGGTCCCTGGTCTCCTTGGCCCCAGGCAGGTCCTGTGGCTCGGTAGTCAAATCCCATGAGTCAGTAGTACAGCAGGCACCTGTCCCCAGGCACACATGCACACTGACACGCTCACGCATGCCCACGAGGGCACACAGCCCCCGCTCAAATTCAGAGTCCACCCTTAGTCACCCCAACAAGTCCCTCCCTGGCCCTACCCTGGAACATTCCCTCCTCCGGAGGCCCTGGTGCTCTGAGGAAGGCTGGGGGCTGACAGGCTGCGGTACTGTCCACACAGACGGGCCCCCTCCCCATGCATCTCTCTCCTGGTTGCTGGGGAGGCCAGAAGGGAAGCCCCCTTGCCTGGGCTCAGCATCCACCGTCCTTGCCTCGCCCGGGGTCTCAGGCAGGCCCCTGCTGTATCCGTGGTGCTGCCGTGTTGGTCACTGATAGACTAAAGAGACGACTGGAGTCCAGAGAAGTCGGCTGCCATTTGTTCCAGGATCATGGCTTGAGGGAGGGGCATGTCTCTGGGTGCCCGTCCTTGGAGGGACACGACCAAGAGGCACCGGTGTGGCAAGCGGCATGTGTAGGAAGCAAGGCCAAAAACACACTCTGTGGCCTCAGGGCACCGTTTAATGTTGCCAGGCCACTGAGTTATCCTCAGATGTCTGAGGGGTGTGCTCCATCTGGTTCCTTCATTACTATTCAACTCAGCGTGACAAACATTGATCCACACCTACTTCATGCCAGACACCACACTAGGCATGGGGATCCACAGCTTTATCCCCCAAGGAGCGCACAGGTAGCAGAGGAAACAGCTTGGAAAGCACTAGAACGTTCTGGAACCCAGTTGAAGGATGGCTTATTCTGCCTTAGGGGAAGATGGGGTGAAGAAAGCAGGAGGATGAGCCACGGAGAAGAGATGATGTTCATGTTGGGCCGGTTAAGAGTTTGTGCAGGTGCTGGGGCCCCTTCCTGTCCCCCCTTGGTCTGCCTGGAGAGGAAGCGGGGACAGGGGTGTGGGGGGAGGCTGGCGTTTCCCCTGGGCCTACAGGGGCTGCAAGTGCCACCCTCTCCAACGCACACACGTGGAGCCCAGAGCAAGCTGTGGCCGGGTGAGATACAGCCAGCCCGCGTGGGAGCCGCGTGTGTGAATCTGGGTCCCGGCCCATCTTCAGAAAATGGCTCACAGGGAAACAGGTCCTGCTCTGTTCGGCTCAGTCCTTTTACTGTCAGTTTTCAGACAAAACTGTCAGCTTGGGTTCGTTGAGCTTTTTGAAAGCTTTCCAGGTATTTAGTAAAATCTGGGGATTTTGTGGTTTCATATTTTATCTTTACGGGAAAGCCAGCATGGAACCTGAGTGTGCAATAAAGAAGCTAAGGGAATTCAGTGCGGCCTGTGGAGGGGTGGCGGGAGCCCACCGCCATCCCAGCCCCTGTGGGGAAGTGTGTTGAGGGGCTGGGATTGAGGAAGCGGTCAGCTGCCGCTACTGCTGCTTGGGTTGGTCAGGGGTCCGGGTGGTAAGTGGGAGGGCGTCTCTCCCTCACGCCAGTTCTCACCAGTATCTTCCCCTTAAAGATGGGCTCATTGCTTTCCACGTGGCACCTCATTTAAGTCTCTCAGAAAGACCCTGAGGCAGGTAATGCTGCCACGGGTGACAAAACGTCCTGGACGGGGTGGGCTAGGGCTGTGCTCTCATCCTGTCCTGTGGGTTCCGGCGGGAAGAAGGGCGCCACGACGTGGGTGGGGAGGGAGCAGTGTGGGACGGCAGGGACCGAGGAACCCGAGCCACTGGGATCTTAGTTCCTATTCAATAGCCACAGTCTGCTGCCTCAAGGCACACTGGCAGATGAGCTCTCTAGCCTTGGGCTTGCCCTGGGACCGCACAACAAATCTAAGTCCGGTAGAGCTAAGAGGAACCCTGACCCAAGGTCATGGGCGTTTTAAGAGCTCTCTTATCTGTTCCTACGAGGAAAACCAAAACAAAACACTGGCACGCCAAACTTCAGAAACGTTGAGAATTCTTCTAAAGGTTATACATCAACCAAGCACCAGCACCTCCCACGTGGGCGGAGCCAGGCTGGGTGGGCGGGGCCGCGGAGTCGGGTGCAGTTGGGGCCGGCGGCCACAGGTGGCAGCACGGAGGCCGGACGCTCTGCCGGTTTCGGAGCTCGAGCTGGCCCCCCCTCGGTGGAGCGTGGGAGGAGGTGTTGGGGGCAGGCCCAAGGGACCACCCTTCCTCCAGCCCCACTCCTCAGCCCCTTTGGAGGATTTGCCCCTGGAGTTGAGAAGGTTCTTGGCTGGGAGCCTGGGCGGCTGCGCCCTGGGTGAATTTGACCCCGCACGGCAGCCCTGTCCTCGGCGTAGCCCCTGGAGCCGGCAGGATGCGGGTAGAAGGCTGGAGCACGGACACCAGGTCACCCTCAGACGTCCTTTGTGAAGATGGAAGGACGGGGCTTTTTTTGCTGGAGGACTCACTGGGAGGTAGCGTTTGTTGCCGTGCTGGTGGGTTTCACTAGTGTTTGCTTAGTAAACCCTCCTACAACCTTACAGATGAGGAAGCAGGCTCAGGGCGGTTAAGGGACTTGCTCTACTGCTGTACATCACAGGCCTAGGAGGTGGTGGAAGGGGAGGTGGGGTGGAAGGGGCCACCTTGGGAGAGGACGTGGGGTGCCCACAGGCGATTTTTTTCCTGTGCACTTTTATCGTGGTCGTATGGTTTTCTGGTGAATTTCCCATAGGGAGGGGGTAATGCAAATACTGAGTTCCGTCCTTCTCTCCCTTCAAGGCCCAGCTCGAGCTCCCTGGGACTCCTTCCAGGACAGCGGCAGCCCTCAGTGACCACTCCCTCACCCCAGCAACTCCAGCACTTAAGACTGAGCCTCTCACACCTCCGGAGTCTCTCGGAAGTTTTCATCTGTGACTCATCTCTAAAGTCATCTGACCGCTCTTGGCATCTGATTATAAGCCCCTGGATAGCAGGGATTATGTGTCACTGGCCTCTTTGTAGCACACATAGCATGTGCTCAAAAAAAATTGTTGTATATGACAAGATTGCCCCCAAATGTCATCTCTGAAACTCTTTGCCATGGTGGGAGACAGCAGTGGCCGGCCATCATAAGAGGCTCGTCTTTTTGGCTTTGGTGGGCGTGGCTTTTTGGCTTTGGTGGGCGTGGCATGGTTTTAGAGGCCCGGCAAGATGCACTCTTTAGTTTGTTTTGCTTCAGTTAAGTTAGCTCGCTCACATTCCCTAAGCATGTAGATACTGGGCGGGCTGGGTGGAGGTGACAGGGAGCACCTGGGCAGTGAGGGAGAGCTGCCTTCGCCTCCAGAACATCCTCTGCATCATACACAGAGCCCAGCTGGCGAGGGCAAGGAGCTGGCTGCGAGTGGAAACCAGGCCCGGGGAGGGTTTCCATCAGTGACTGCGGTTGGCGGCTGAACATTCCTGTGGTCACCAGGATAATTATGCTAACATCACTGTGCTGTTTGTGAAAGACGACCTGGTTTTCAGAAATGCCCACTGTCTGCTGTGTATTTACACCAGGAGGGGGTGGAGGTAGAGGAGGTAACTGCTCTTTCCTTAGTCCGTAAAGAACTCCAAACTGGGAGCAAGTATGAGATTCAAACAGGGGTCATCCAGAAGACCTCCTGCCGTGCCCATCAGAGATCCCACGTCTCAGCCTGGAGTGGATACACACTTGGCCTGACTCAGAAGACCTGCCCGAGTCTAGTTTGGGGCCAGCTCTACCAACAAGCAGACGTGTAGCTCAGGCTGCTGTGCTCAACCTCCCTGACCCCAGGCTTCGCCTCTAATATAAAGTAGAAATCGTGCCTGCCCTGCCTACCTCACAGGGTTTTGAGAACTGTAGATGTTAGAATTTCAGGGATTAGAAATTGTCGACCCCATTCTCACTATCCATGAGACCCCGAGAGGTTAAATAACACGTCCAAGGTCACGCATCTAGCCACGCATCTAGTGGCAGAGCTAGATCTCAGGTCTTGTGGCTCCTCTATTCGTTGTTGATACTATTATTGCACGTATCATGCTTTGTTTATTTACCTGTCCACCATCCACGCAGAAGTGTAAGCCCCTAGAGGGCAGGGATCCACTCTCACACCTCTTTTTTCTCTAGCGCCTGGTACATACTAAAGGTGCTCAATAAACGTGTGTTGACCTAAACTGATCTTGACTCCTAGTTCAAGGGCTCCTTCTTCTACACCATGCTGTCTCTGATCTCAGAAATCTGTACTGCCAGTCCAGCTGCCCACAAAAAGTATGCAAACTTACTGATGTTTTAGAGAAAAAGATAAGATGCTCAACTGCCTTGCAATGTGCTTTAGGGTCCTGTAGTCTAGAGCACAGATTCCATTTGAATAAAGACATACACATCTAAGACAAAATTGTAATAACAATGAACACTAGTTAAGAGCTTATTAGGGCCAGCCATTCATACAAAGTGCCTGGCCCATAGTTAGTGCTTAAAAATTATCGTCTTGGGCTTCCCTGGTGGCGCAGTGGCTAAGAATCCGCCTGCCAATGCGGGGGACACGGGTTCAAGCCCTGGTCCGGGAAGATCCCACATGCCACGGAGCAACTAAGCCCGTGCGCCACAACTACTGAGCCTGCGCTCTAGGGCCCGCGAGCCACAACTACTGAAGCCCTCGTGCCTAGAGCCCATGCTCCACAAGAGAGGCCATCGCAATGAGAAGCCTGCGCACCGAAACAAAAGAGTAGCCCCCGCTCGCCGCAACTAGAGAAAAGCCCGCATACAGCAACGAAGACCCAACACAGCCAAAAATAAATACATTTATTATTTTAAAAAAAACCAATTATCATCTTGTTTCACTATGATGTAAATTGAGTTGGGTCTTAGAGCATGCTAGCTTTTGTAATACCCACATTTCAGAGGCCTACCCAAGAAAAGATCCCTTTCTGGCTTGCACCACTAATGCAGGTCAGTGACAGGGAATAGCATTGCTCCATCCAGGGTCTTTGAACATAGAGGCTCACACAGGATGTGTTTTAGGAAATGTGGTAGATGTGGCGGCTATGCATCGAGAACTTTTCCTTTCCTCTCATTCTAGGTACATGGAAGGATTGTATTTCCTGGTCTGTTTGAAGGTAGGTGTCAGGTGACATCAGAGCTTTAACCATGGAAAAGTGACAGATGTCACTTCCAGGTGGAAACATTTAAGAACCAGTGCATACTCCTCCATATTCTCCCTCCCACAAGTTGTGATTTTTTGATTTGGAGGCTCCATAAGACTGAAGCATCCTGGGATGCTAAGTCAGTGTGTGGGGGAGAAGCTTCCTGGAAAGCCTCTGAGGTTTTGGGTTTGTTGTGATCATAGCCTATCTTACCCTAGACTAGACAGGGGCCAGGCCTGGAGGTGGCACACATTCCATCCACAGTCCATTGGCCAGGACAGTCATGGAAGGCTGAGAAGTAACTTCCAGCTGTATGCTTGGATACATGAGATTCTTGATTCTAAAAGTTGAGGATTTTCATCAATTTTGGAAGATTCATCACCTTTGTCTCTAAATATTTCACCTGCCCGACTCTTTGCTCTCCTTCAAGGACTCCAATTAAGGCTGTTTGAGATTGTCACACAGGTCTAATGCTCAAGTTTTTTGTCTTTTGATCAATTTTACAAATCAATTTGATGAACTATGACTGTTTAGCAATTTGACTCTTCCAATCAATGACTGAAGTAGCTCTCTCCATTTAACTTTTTAAAAATTTCAGCAACATTTTACAAGTTTTAAGGGTAGAGTTTTTGCATATATTTTGTTAAATTATTTAAATATTTTTATTTTTTATGCTACTGTAGATGATTTGTTTTTAAATTTCATTGTTTGTTTGTTGCTAGTATAAAGAATGAATATTGTTAAAATGACCATACTGCCCAAGGCAATCTATAGATTTGATGCAGTTGCTATCAAAATACCAATGGTATTTTTCACAGAACTAGAACAAATAACTTCAAAATTTATATGGAAACACGAAAGACCCCAATTAGCCACAACAACTTTGAGAAGGAAGAACAGAGCTAGAGGGATCATGCGCCCTGACTTCAGACTATACTACAAAGCTACAGTAATCAAAACAGTATGGTACCGGCACAAAAACAGACATATAGATCAATGGAACAGGATAGAGAGCCCAGAAATAAACCTATGCACTTATGGTCATATGGTCAATTAATCTACGACAAAAGAGGCAAGAATATACAATGGAGAAAAGATAGTCTCTTCAATAAGTGGTGCTGGGAAAACTGAACAGCTGCATGTAAAAGTCTGAAATTAGAACATTCTCTAACACCATGTACAAAAACAAACTCCAAATGGATTAAAGACCTAAATGTAAGACAGGATCCTATAAAACTCCTAGAGGAAAAACATAGGCAGAACACTCTTTGACATAAATAGCAGCAATATGTTTTTGGATCCATCTCCTAAAGTAAAGGAAATAAAAAATAAACAAGTGAGGTCTAATTAAACTTAAAATATTTTGCACAGCAAACTATCAACCAAACAAAAAGATGAGCCACCGAATGGGAGAAAATATGCAAATGATATGACCAATAAGAAATTAATATCCAACATATATAAATAGCTCATAAATATTCAACATATATGAACAGCTCATACAAAACAGCAACATCAAAAAAACCAAACAACCTGATTAAAAAAAAGGGCAGAATAACTGAATAGACATTTCTCCAAAGAGTAAATGCAGATGGTCAGCAGGCATAGGAAAAGGTGCTTAACATCACTAATCATCAGGGAAATGCAAATCAAAACCACAACGGGATATCACCTCACACCGATCAGAATGGCTATCCTCAAAAAGAACACAAATAACAAATGTTGGCGAGTATGTGGTGAAAAGGGAACCTTCATACACTGTTGGTGAGAATGCAAACTGGTGCAGCTGCTTTGGAAGACAGCATGGAGGTTCCTTAAACTAAAAATAGAGCTACTATATGATCCAGCAATCCCACTGCTGGGTATATATCCAACAAAAACAAGAACACTAATTCGAAAAGATAAATGCACCCCAATGTTCATAGCAGCACTATTTACAATAGCCAAGACATGGAAGCAACCTAAATGTCCATCAACAGATGAATGGGTAAAGAAGATGTGGTATATATACGCAATGGAATATTACATGGCCACAAAAAAGAACGAAATTTTGTCATTTGCAGCAACTTGGATGGATTTGGAGCACATTATGCTAAGTGAAATAAGTCAAACAGAGAAATAAATACTGTGTGATATCACTTATACGTGGAATCTAAATACAACAAACTAGTGAATATAACAAAAAAGAAGCAGACTCACAGATATAGAGAACAAACACTGGTAATGGCTACCAGTGGGGAGAGGAGGGGGAGGGGCACCCTAGGGGTAGGGGAGTGGGAGGTACAAACTATTGGGTGTAAGATAGGCTACAAGGATGTATGTTACGACACGGGGAAGATAGCCAATATTTTGTAATGACTGTAAATGGAATGTAACCTTTCTATATCTACATATATATATATATAGATATACATAAATAAATTTATTTTTGGCTGTGTTGGGTCTTCGTTGCTGCACGCAGGCTTTCTTTTTTTTAGTTGCAGCGAGCTGGGGCTACTCTTCGTTGCGCTGCACAGGCCTCTCATTAAGGTGGCTTCTCTTGTTGCAGAGCACGGGCTCTAGGTGCGCAGGCTTCAGTAACTGTGGCACATGGGCTCAGTAGTTGTGATTCGTGGGCTCTAGAGCGCAGGCTCAGTAGTTGTGGTACATGGGCTTAGTTGCTCCGCAGCATGTGGGATCTTCCCGGACGAGGGCTCGAACCCGTGCCCCCTGCATTGGCAGGCGGATTCTTAACCACTGTGCCACCAGGGAAGCCCCAGAATGCAACCTTTAAAAATTCTATTAAAAGAAACGGAATCAGTTTTTGTACACTGATCTTTTATCCTGTAATCTTACAGATTGGCTTGTTAGTTCTAGATTTTTTGGTAGACTGAACAGGGTTTTTAGTTGCATGTGTATCCAATGTTTTTATTAAAGCATAACATGGGCCACCATGATTCCAGCGCCTGAAATCAATTTCCTTATTTCTCTGTCCAGCTGCTAAGCCAGTGCCATGTATTTTTTTTTTTTTTTTTTTTTTGGTACGCGGGCCTCTCACTGTTGTGGCCTCTCCCGTTGCGGAGCACAGGCTCTGGACGCACAGGCTCAGCGGCCATGGATCACAGGCCTAGCCACGCCACAGCATGTGGGATCTTCCCGGACCGGGGCACGAACCCGTGTCCCCTGTATTGGCAGGCGGACTCTCAACCACTGCGCCACCAGGGAAGCCCACCATGTATTTTATTTTAGCTGTTTGCTACAGCCGTACCTCACTTTCAGGAACTAATGTCTATATTAGTCAGGGTAGGTTAATTGCTGTATAAAAAATCCTAAAATTTCAGTGGCTTAAATATAATAAAAAGATTTCTTTCTTACTTTTTGTGGTTTTGTCCAAAGTGGTTTTATTAGGAGGCCATTAAATCATCAGTGATCTGGGCTTCTTCTTCAGAGTCCTTCATCAGCTCTTCCACATGTGGGCAGAAATTTAGGGGAGAGAGTGTGGATCAAAGTATGTGAGTTTTGTTTTAGGGGTCAGGTCTGGTTATATTTAACTGCAAAGAAAGCTAGGAAATATAATCTAGCCCTGTACTCAGCAAGAACAGGAAATGGCTATGGGGAATATCCATCCAGTCCTTGCCACATGTGGCATTATCCCCATTTTACAGATAAGAAAACTGAGGCTTGAGAGGTTAAGTGATCTCCCAGTCATAAACAACAGAGCCTCGAACTGAACCCCAGTATGGCTGACTCCAGAGTCATGCTCTGAATCGCTCTGCTATGGATAATGCTTTCTCTCCTACTGACTCACTGGCCTGTGCAATCTTAAGACCTGTGGCAATCTTTTCCCCCTTAGAAGGGTTTCCTCCAAGCATCCACTTTTTCCTTCTCGTTCTGGCTTTTATTAATGGGTAATTTGTTCACTTATAAGCAACCTGGTCCACGGGCTTAGTCTTCAGCAGATAAAGAGTCTGAGAGCCATGGCAATAAGCCATAAGAAGACATCGAAACAGAACACAAAGAGACATAGAAGCAGATATCAAGTGGTTTATTGACAGGGTATCTGCCCTCCAGTGTTGTTTTACAAGTGCTGTCAAATGCAAAGTGTCTCAGTAGAAGAGACCACATCTATAGATCAGCGCGTGTAAAGAAAGCACTTAAGAATGGGAATTAGGACTTCCCTGGTGGCGCAGTGGACAAGAATCTGCCTGCCAATGCAGGGGACACCGGTTTGATCCCTGGTCTGGGAAGATCTCACGCGCTGTGGAGCAACTAAGCCCGTGCACCACAACTACAGAGCCTGTGCTCTAGAGCCCGCGAGACACAACTACTAAGCCCACGTGCCACGACTACTGAGCCCACACGCCACAACTACTGAGGCCCGGACGCCTAGAGGCCGTGCTCCACAACGAGAAGCCACCGCAGGGAGAAGCCCACGCACCGCAACAAAGAGTAGCCCCCCCGCTCGCCACAACTAGAGAAAGCCCACGCGCAGCAACGAAGACCAACGCAGCCGCAAAAATAAAAAATAAAGTGTACCCAAGCTGCTCTAAAAACAAAAAAAAGAATGGGCATTAGATGGCCTCCTTACCAAACCAGCCTTGTCCTGCTGTCGCACAGCCAGCCAAAACGCTGAGACGCCGAAGTTCACAGCAAAGAGAGTTCTTCGCAAGGCAGCCGAGCAGAGAATATGGGAGAAAAACCTCAGATCTCAAACCTGCCTCCCCAAAGGCGAGGGGCTTGGCGTATTCACGGGATGACGAATAAAGAAGCAGGGTGGTGTGAAGCGTGGGCGCACGGGGAAAGGTTATGGGAAAAAGGTGCGGGAATCATGGTTCTGCGCAGGCGCAGGCGTAACTAACCTACGGGTCTCTGCAGGTGCCCAGCTGGAGGATCGCCGGTCCTATCCAGTTTTAACTGGCTAAGCTGAACTAGAGGCAGCTGCAGCTCCAAGTTCCTGGAAAACAACTCGGGCAAAGCTCTTGCTGTTCGGGCTACATGCGGCTTGGAGGACACGCAAGCGTTAAAGCGATCGTGATTAGTGAAGACAGGTGGAGTGGGTTTGACTCATCACGCACCGTTTCAGTCTCACAGAACTGGAGGACTGTCTCGCTCCTGGCTGTTTCTTCCCTACAGAGTGAGGATTAGGGTTGTTGCTGAACAGTGGGTTTTTTCCCACCCTCAAGCAGTGCCAGGCAGTGTAAGGAACATAGATCTTCTAAGGAAGATCTACTGGAGGCCGTTTGCATGGACCAAGTTGGACCTAAAGCGTGCCAGGTGGGAGGGGGGAGGGTCCGAGGCTCCTTCGTTAAAGCTGAGTACTGGCAGAAGGGAGGGACTGCGCTCAGTGAAGAGGTCATGAGGACACCCACCCCACCAGTGTTACATTTACCCTTTGCTCTTAGTGTATTCTCTGCTTTTATACTTATTGATATTCGCTTAAGCTTAGCTATTCGAGGGAAGAGTTAGAAAACATGTAAGTCAGACTCTCACAAAAAAATGTAGTACACCTGGCTGTTTGGAACCGTCTCTTGGGCAGGACATCCACTACACAACAACGTGCCCCCAAAGCAAGGGGAGCTTCGTGACGTGGGAGCACCTACCCCCAAAGCCAAAGCCCCAGTGGGCAGAGTCCCGAGCTGGCTGCCGGCTGAGAGCACCATCTATCTGTGGCTTGGCCCTCCTCCAGGGGCTCCTTGGCTCTGCTGGGAAATAGCACTTGTTATGGGCGTCTAGAACTCTGCTTCCTGTTCATTATCAGTTCAAGGAAAGAATCTGTTTTTTAAATTTCCCCAGTATTGAATGTGCTTGGAGGAACATATTGAGCGCAATACGTTTGTCTTTTCACTTTAGATTCATATAACTTGCTGGAGACGCTGGTGGTTAGATCCTTAGACACAGCTGCACTGCATTCCCCTGTTGACACGCTCTTATCTCACTTGGAATATAGGGTCTGCTTCTCCCTCCATTTCCATGGACTGGGATCCCTGGCAGTGCATTTCTAACTTAAAAAAAAAAAAAGTATGTTGGAAGCATTCCGAATTCTGTCAAAATCTTTTGCATGGATTTTTATGGAACTTGAATTTTGGTTGAGTTGCATTTAACCTTGCCTGCATTTAGGGTTTATTAGTATTACCTGAATTCTGGGAGACACGGAATTTGGAGGGGGGGAAGGTGGGTTGATTGGACAATAACACGGGCTGAGTAGTTTATTTATCCAAATATTTCTTGACCTCCTACTCTGCCCGGCAGGGTAACAGATGCCCTAGAAATAGAGATGAAAGACAAATCCTTACCTGCAAGGATTCTGTGGTTCCATGGGGAAGGGAAATCAGGAAAGAAAGGTTGACAGTATGGCATAATGAGAATTATGCACAAGGGGTTGGGAACCTGGGCAAGGGACACCCACCTCATCAGGAGCCTGAGGATGAGCCTCCCAGAAAAATGACTCAGGCTGGTTCTTGAAGGGCACAGGTGTGAGAAAAGCAGGAGGATCCCAGGTAGGGGGCGGATGCTTGACAGAAAGAGCTCTGGATACAGGAAGGGATGGGGTGGGCGCAGGGCCTTACTCCTCTGAGGCTGAAGGGAGAAAGAGGTGTGAGGTACAGGTTTGTGGGAAGGGGAGGGGTTGAGGGAGCCCTGCGGTGGCCTGGATTTCTCTGGGTTACTCTGGAGGGTAAGGGTTGGGGGTGGAGAGAGTGGTGGGTTTCCAAGTAGCCACAGATGGAGCGGATGAGCACAGACGCTGGCCCGAGGTTCCCGCAGTTCTGGGAGTCTGGGTGGAGAAGCAGAGCTGTAGATGGTTGAAGTGGGTAGCAGGGAGCGGAGGGTATGGCTGAGAAGATGGGTGGAGTTTAGGCTGGTTGGGGACCTTGTGAAACCAGGGGGCACAGAAAAGGCAGGCCCAGGAGCCTGGCAGTCCTCAGGCCCGAGAACACTGGCCATGGAAGCCAGGATAAGAGGGCTGGGTGAGGATATTGGAGTTGCTGGGAGTGTTAAAATGGTGCAGCCGCTGTGGGAAAGTGTGGCAGTTCCTCAAAAAGTTAAGAATTACCATACAATGCAGCAATTCCACTTGCAGGTGTTACGTCTTAAAGAATTGAAAGCTGGGGCACAGATGCTTTACACACCAGTGTTCAAGCAGCATGATTCACAGAAGCCAAAAGGTGGAGACCACTCACTTACCCATCAACAGACGAACGGATAAACAAATGTGTATACATACGATGGAATGCTGTCAGACTTAAAAAGGAATAAAATCCTGATATACGCTATAAGATAAATAGATGAACCTTGAAAACACTGTTGAGTAAAATAAGCCATACATAAAAGGGCAAATATTGTACGATTCCACTTAAATGATGTAGCTAGAGAAGGGAAATTCAGAGACAGAAAGTAGAAGGGTGGCTGCCAAACAGAAGGGGAAATGGGGAGTTATGGTTTAATGGGCACAGAGAGTCTGTTTGGGATGATGACATTTCTAGAAAGAGCTCGTGGTGATGTTTGCACAACACTGTGAATTTAATTAATGCCACTAACGGTACACTTTATTTAAAAAATTTAAAAAATTTTTATTTTATTTTTTATTGAAGTACAATTGATTTATTGATTTATTTGTCCGCGCCCCGTGGCATGCGGGATCTTAGTTCCCTGACCAGGGATGGAACCCGTGTCCCCTGCATTGGGAGCTTGGAGTCTTAACCACTGGACTGCCACGGAAGTCCCTCTAACAGTACACTTTAAAGTGGGTAAAATGGTAAATTTTATGTTATGTACTGACTTCACCACAATAACAATAATGTTTAAAAAAATGACTGCTGGGGCTTCCCTGGTGGTGCAGTGGTTGAGAGCCCATCTGCCGATGCAGGGGACGCGGGTCCGTGCCCCGGTCCGGGAGGATCCCACATGCCGCGGAGCGGCTGGGCCCGTGAGCTATGGCCGCTGAGCCTGCGCGTCCGGAGCCTGTGCTCCGCAACGGGAGAGGCCGCAACAGTGAGAGGCCCGCGTACCGAAAAAAAAAAAAACCCACAAAAACTGTTGGAAGGGTGAGAAGGCCGTCAGAGGGGATGGTGACTCACCGTGGTGGAGCTCCGGTGGGCCGTTCCGGGGAGGACCTGGTGGTGAGGCCGGCGAGCTAGAGGCTGCCTGGCACTTAAGTCTCCTGAGAGGGCAAGGCCCGTGAGAGGATGGCGGCTCCGCACCCAGATCCGGGATGAACTTGGGAAGCTCTTCGGATGGCAGGTGACGGCAACGCCTTAGGCCTCACAGATGGAGCTGGGGAGCCGTGGGGGTTGGAACGGCTCGGGAGAGTTAGTGGCAGTGAGCATGCTCCCCGCCCTCCGCCCAGCTGCCCGGGAGCAGGTAGTGAAACGACCTCAAAGCCCGCCCTCTACCGCCACACATAGTGGCAAATTTTAAATGCAGTGGTGGGTTGTGAACATGTTCAGAGGTATTGAATACTTTCCGGAGGGCTAAATAACTTACAAAAGATGTGGCTGGTAACGATAACCTCTGTAGCCTCAGAACTGGTCTGGTTCTAGAATAAACAAGCATGCCAGGCTGAGTGAACAGTGATTCCAAACAGTTTAATGTAATTCCAAGACAGTGTGATTACATTTCTACACATATACAATATGCATATGTGAGTTTACAAATTTTAATTAATAACTCGTTTCACCTCAGAGACCGAAAAAATGATCAAAAAGAAACTGTAAGTAACAAGCTATAACATAGTTCACCACAACGGGACCCCCCTTTCTCACCCTACAGTTAGTAATATTACAATTAAAATAACTATATTCTTCTATAATTTTTTTCTGTTAAAATCATCTCATAAATTTACAATGCTATTATTAGTTTCCAAGACTAATATAAATTCACTCCATTTTTCTACAACGAAAATGATCATTAATTTAGAAGCACACGACGTCATGATGAAAAACACAAGCATTTTAGTAGCAAGGACTTGATCAGTTAAGAATTATTTTTCTTGTAAAACATTCTAAAGCCAAGTAAAATATCCATTCTTATACCTATAATATGAGACTAAGGGATAGGTTACATATAGGCCTACAACACATTGGTTTGTCTTTTTAAAAAAGTAGACATTTATAAATAAAAAAAGAGAAGAGGGACAATTCACATAGGAAAAAGAGGTACACGAGAAAATACTGTTGCACGCAATAATTTTCACAAAGATTAACATGGATTAACACTTTTTATTACAGAAACCGTACAGTGAAGGAACACAACAGGCCAGGGCTTCCATAGGGTAATTGAGCTGAGATGACCTGGTAGAGAAAGATCCGGGCGAGATGGCCCTGGGGAGGAACGGCGTTCCTGGGACCGGTGACCGAGCCTCACCGGGCCTCCTCTTCCCTGCTCTCGTTCTGGGGAGTGCGGCTTTCTATCCAGGGTGTCCTGAATTTGTGGGCAGTTGAAAGGTAAACATTTCTACAGATCCGTTCTCTTCCCATCCTAATGGACACCATTTTTGGAGACGTGATATGATATCAGAGGCTGCAGCTCAATACATGTGGTCAAAGCAAAACAGGACGGAAAATTCCAGTCATCCTGATGTGCTGCCCCCTCACTCACCTGTGCCCTTGTCGCTAGGGACCCAGAGAGAGCAGCGGCTCCCCTCTGGGGCCACCTGCCTCCACTGTGGCAGGGTGGTGGCCGGGGCCCGGCGCCCGGCCTCAGGCCACGTGCGAAGGTGCAGCCTGGGCCGCCCTGGGCTCCCCCCATCCACCACCCAACGCTGACTCCGACTTCTAAAAGCTCCTCTCCCCCCTTCATCCGTAAAGCTATACTTTTCCTATCAGAAATTTGGTTTGATATATATATACACAAGCATATATATCAGCATCTACAACTATACAGTGATTCTACTAGACTGGAAACTCTGCTGCCCCAAAGTATGACTTCCTGGTCTACTTCATTTGGTTAAAAAAAAAACGCACAGAAGGAGGATGAGGAGATGCTTTGGGGGCCAGAAATGATTGTGCCCTGGGAAAGCCACAGACGAAAGCTTTAAATGAGCAGTAACACAACAGTGAAAGGGTGAAAGGTGACAGGGGGAGTGAGACGGTGGGGGAGAAACCATGCGCCGCGGTGACGGCGAACAGGAATATCTGCAGGAAGGGAGGAGGGTGGGGTGAGGTGGGGACACTTTAGGTTCCATCCATAAGTCACAGAAAGCTATGAAGGATGGGCGTGGTCAAGTCACTTTCCATCTCCCAAGTTCTTCCTGAGCCAAACTATTAAAATAATAATAATAACAATAACAACAATAATAGTAAATCCATTGCCCCTTCAACCAAGCAGGCGAGTATCTAACAGGGAGGCAAGACCACCACTCACAAGTCTAAGTGGGTCCTTCTTCCTGGCTCTTGAGAGCTTCCTGGGAGTCCTGGGTGCCTGGGCACGGGGCTGTGGTGACAGCAGGGCAGAGGCCAAGGTGGCCACGGGGGCAGTGACCCAACACAAGAAGAGGGGAGGGAGTGCCAGGAGGCTCGTGTGGAGGCTGGCTGAAAGGCAACCAGAGAGCGAGGGCAGAGTCCTTTTTCAGATACAGCGTATCTACTTAAAAAAAAAAAAGCCAATTTCTATACCTTTATTTTTAAAAAATATGATTAAGCCCCAAAGACCATGACATAAAATTCATTTGGTTAATCAAATCAAAGGGAAAAAACCAAACAGAGGAAAGCAGAGGATAATTAGGAGGGGCAAGATGAAAAATATTTTACAATGACATTTCCAACCAAAAACTGTGATAAGAGCATACTGTCAACAGAGTTCACAGCGAAAAAGCAAATGCATTAAAAACAACCACCAACCAGTTCGTTCCCTGGTCCCAGGTGTTCTGCAGTTTTCAAGGTGTTATCTGCTAAAGGAATGCCCTTCAGATCACAGCAGGTCCTCTGCACCAAGGTTGTGGCACAAGAGAAAAGAAGAAATGAACCAAAACTCTTAGGGAAACTGGCTCCTGCATCATGGTGGTGGGCCCTCTCAATTATGACCTCTACTCGGACGTATCTCACTGCTCCTCCCCCCCCCCCCATTGCCCCTCGGTCCCCAGTCCCCTCCTCCCCCACTCAGCAGCACTTACAATCTCTAGCAAAAAATCTAGATCCCACCTCCTAATGACCTAGGCTTTAAAACGAAGTTTGACAAAGAGTGAAAAGGAAACACAACCTTTTACACTTACTTTGTTTTAAAGGAGAAAAGGAATAAATGACAGCAGATAGATGGAAAACCCAACCAATAAATATGGGCACAGGGGTGTATGACTCTCCCCTGCAAAACGCCAATCAGAATATTGCTGGGGGCCCAGAAATAGCAGCTGTACCTTCGGGGCCACCTGAATCCCAGTGTCTTCTACTGCCCGGTGACTGGAAGTCAGTGGACCGATGAATAAATTAAACATTCAAATCAAGACAGAATCAACAAACCAGGTATCTGTTCTCTCTGCCTCTTCCAAGATGTCAAAGAGAAGGCCTTGACGACCAGTGTGGATACAACGTGGCACGAGATCTTCGCATCTGGCCCAGGCTGTGGACTCACCCCTTCCCTGCTCGACCTGGAAATCCTTTCACATTCTCTCACGTTCCCATGGAAACCAGTAATATGGAAGGCTACACAACAGTACGGGTAGAACACACCTGCCTTGGGGTGCCTTGGGGGAACGTGGCCTCCAACTAAAGAGGCGAAATTGCTGGGGTTTGAAGATGTCAGTTATAAACAGAAATTTTCTTTAAAAAGTACCAGTTTACATGTAAACTATAAAACACTTTAACTATAAAACGTAGCCAGAAATATGCTTAAGTATCCACAGTCAATTATTTAGTTCACGCGTTTTAAAATGTGACTCTCTTGATATCTTAGAAGCCTAACAGCATTTTACAGTAGCTAAAAACATATATACTTAACATGTGCATTTGAAAATCACATTTGATTACAAAACACAAGGAATAATCTCTTCCTTGGTTCCATTTTTGTTGTAAAGATTACCTATTTTCAGAGTTCACTTAAGCAACAATGACCAGGGTGTGCATTAATCGTTATTTTCAGCCCACACAGAGTTCATAGTCTTTTAAATCCCAAGATCAAGCTGGCTACATGATTTCAAAAAAGGCTATAACCAGGATGAATGCCCACATTTGAGGTAATTATTGCCATCAGGTCACAGTTTGTGTAAGATAATGTATCTAAAACCTTCTTTAAAAAAATCTTTAGGTGTTCTGTCAGAATTCCAGAATACCTATTGAGTGAAACCAACCAGGATCTCAAATTCTGATCAGCTGGGTTTGCTTCCAATGGAATTTAAGTTCTAGAAGATTCTAGAACTTGTGTAAACTACCTAAGAATTTAGGCAAACATGCCTGGAGCCAGTCAATAAAGTAGTTTTTAAAGTAAAAAAAGAAACGAAAACCCCACCCCAAACAACTGAGGAGATGTTTCATAACAAATGGTGATAGTTTTCTAAAAAATTAAAAATCTAGTCCTAAAGCATTTCTAAATTCTCGCCACCTTTCAAGCAAAGTAAAAATCTTCTGTGTTACTATTAATCTCATGCCTCGGCAAGAGACTCTCCTTCCTTATCTCCTGAAAGTTGGCTAGCTTTTCTCAGTTTACACAACTGTTGCTTTCCATTTCTTTGAGAAGACTATCTCGAAAGAAAACTTTGTTCCTCTTTCTGAAAGTCATCTTGTCTTTCTCCTTCTTCTTTTTTTTTTTTTTTTTTTTTTTTGCTTTTTTTTTAAACTCAAAGAAAACAGTTCCTGGACACCAGACCCACATACGGTATTTACAAATTTGGTGTGAATCCCGCATCTGGTTCTACCCAGAGCTGAAGAGTGGATCGATTACAGAGACCAGAGTTGTCATATTTATCAGTGCAGTAAAAAATAGCATTTTGAAAAAAATATATACCTTTAGTATTGCCTTTCTAGAATTAACTATAAGCAAGAAAAAAAATTATTTTCTTTTTTAAAGAAAAGAACACTTTTTTTTTCTTCACTCTTATAAGAGTTTGTTGTAGCAGCACTACTAAAGCTAATTGGTACACTGGAAAGGAATAGAAAATGAACTCTACTATGAATCAAGAAACTCCCCTAAGATTTTCTCTAAAAGTCAAACTAATTCTGCCCCTGCTGTTTGGATCCAATTCAGGACTCTCTCTACACACAGACCTTCTGCTGAGTTCCACGCATGGGGCAGGGGTGGCACGGGGCAACATTCCTTCGAGACCTTTCTTCGCTCACACACCTAGAAGACAGCCAAGGCTGGTGTCTGCGAGCTCGGTTCTGGAGCTGGGCAGGCCCAGGTTCAAGGCTAGGCTCCCCTACTAGCTGTGTGATCCTAGGCTGGTTACCAGCTCACCAAGCCAGCTACCTCATCTGTAAAGGGACTAGTACTGCAGATTTCATGGGGTCGTTATGAAGACGGAAGGACATGGGATAAACGTGAGCGACTGTCAGAACAGTGTTTGGCACACAATCAATGGGAACATCATTAGATGGTTCATCAGAAACACGAGGCCACTTACTGATGCTAATTTAAGAAGTGAAACAATTCATATTTTAGTAAAGGTCTGATTAACAAAAAACTTCACTAGAAACTTGGGGATTTGGGGCCACCATGGTATTTTCTTTCCTTTAACGCATGCTGCTTTCTTAGAGGGTCAGCTGTCTCATCAACTCCTTCCTCTGTAAATGGGGGAGGGGGTGTCGTAAATGGCGTGGATCTGAAGGCGCCACGAGCTCACACAGGGCTTGGCACGAGCCTGGAGTACTGAAAGCACTCAGCAAATGGCGGCTCTTATTCACTGGAGGGATGTGACAAGTTTTACCAAGAAGAGATAGTCAACGTAGCATTCTAATGCAAGGGCCTGTGATTAGGGGCTCTCGAAGGCTTGCAGGAGTCAAGCTGGGGCATCAGGAAGCTCCCTGCTGGTAGAGGTACCCAGAGCAAGCGTACCCCACAGGAGGGTCGCTTCTCTGTAAATTCTCACTGGGTCTCAAGGGAAGAACTGGCTTGAAGCTGGCTCTCCTGGGCTTCTGGAAGCTGCAGGAAGGATGTGAGCAGCCTTTCCTAAGTTGGGTCGCTCTAGTGAGCGAGGGCGCCGAAAGCCTCCAAAAGGTTTCTACTGCGTTTAAATGTCATTTCACCGTCTCCACTTCTCCACTGAGTCCAGTCTGTGGAGATCAGAAGTGAGCGTCCTAAGGCAGCAAAGCACTGACACCCCGAGTCCGGCCCCAGCGTGCACCGGACCCTGATGCGGCCGCACCTCCTGGCAGAAGGTCTGCTCTGGCTGATGCCCGAGGTAACGTGAAGTTAGTTAAGCCCACAGATCTGTGCGGTGCCTCCAGTTTCCCAACAGCAGCAGCATTTAGAGTTATGAACCTCCACTCCTCTTACAAGATGAGCACAGTTTTAAAATAAAAGCAAAAAAAAAAAAAAAATTCCAAGTGAGGATAGAGACGAAAGAGAGAGACAAATGGGATCGCATCTCTGACAAAGTCATTATTGCCGGGAGAGGAACGCCACTCTGTCCATATCTGGGGTGTCTTTGAGAAGGGTTCTTTGGCTAAAGAAAGGAAGACTTTCACTTTCCTTTCCAATTTGGTTAGGACAGCTCGGGCCTGCTCAACTCTGAGGCTTCCCCATCTGAAATCTGTAAGACACACCAGAAGGAAAAGACAGAGAAGAAAAGGGAGGGAAGCATGCATGGCCCTGGCTGGCATATTTCCTGGCAGAATTGCTTGGGCTGGCGTTGAGCGGCACCCGGTGAGGCCCGCGACCTGCGGAAGGAGCCCCGGCCTCTCTGCCGCGCGCCCTCCCTGCTGCTTGGGGGCACCTCGCTTTCCTCTTCTGTCTGTTTTCTGTCCCAGCAGCTGTTGAACGGGCCAGCGAGAGCCCCACATCCTACCCCGCCCCAGCGCCAGAGAACCCGTGGGGAAAGCTGGGGCGAGCCCGTCGGCGCACCGCGTTTCACCAACCACAGCCCATCAGCAATAGCTCCGTAAACCTCCTCATCTCCTTCCTCCAGTTTCCACGAAAGTCCGCTCCGCTCACTCACACGCACTCACACAACCCAAATCCTCCACCGAGCTTGCTCCAGAATCAGTGTTTGCGACAGCAGAGGTCTGGTCAAGGGAAATCCGCCCGTTAGCAGCTGGGCTGATCTCACCTTCCCTTCCTTACATCCCACAATCTGGTGTTTGGGCGGGTTGAGTCTTCCAGGGTGAAGAGGACAAGGCCAGCTGGCTCCCACAGCCCGCCAGCCACCCACCGCCAGTAAGGCCGGAATGCAAATACAGTCCAGGAGACAACCGCTGGTTGACCCCAACCCTTCTCTTCCCTCTGCACTCCATCAACCACATGTTCCACTTCACAGTATTAACTGGCACCAAGCCTCAGACTCTCGCACCCATCGGCCTGCTCACCCCTCTCCTTGGAAACAGCCAAGACATCACGGAAGAGGCACTAAGCGCAGAGATACGGGTGCAAATACCCAGAGGGGTCTGCGAGACCCCACCGAGCAGAAGCAAATCAACCTGCGGTTCCTAAGGCTCCAGTTATGAGGTTCACCTTGCCCGGTCCTTTTCAACCTTCCCTTTTAGCCTTAACCACGTTTCCTCAGTAAAGACAGGTGGAGTCAATTCCAGAGCACATGATGTTCTAAGTTGTTTGTGATCTAAATAAGGACTAGGTCTGCATTCCTCTACGTGAGAGCTGGGTCTTAGGGACGGGCAGCCTTTTATTCATCCTATTTGCCAGGGCGACTCGGAGTTGGGGGGCAGGATGGGAGCTGGGGCAGATGCTAAGGAAGCCCACGCAGGGGCTGGCCTCTCCCACTGGGGTCTTCTCCTGGGGCTTCGGAACCACAGCTCTGTGCTCGGCTGGAAGAGGAAGGCAGATAGCGACTCGGGGAGGGCGCTAATGTTTGCTGAGCGGCTCTGGGCTGGGCATGGCCTGGCATCTTCCTTCATTAGCTTCAGTGAAGCCAGCCATTCCAGACCTTCCTTTACCCACCCGGGGCCCGGCAGTTTCTGGGTTTGGTGGGTAGCGTGTAGGCACCTCAAGCTGATTTAAAAAGCCCATGGCACACAGCACCATGCCCTAAGGGGCACAGTCGGAGCCCCGTGGGCCTGGCTCGAGGCCCCACTGTGCCCCTCCGTCGGCCAACTATTTCACGGGGGCAGCAGCCTGCAATGTCCAAGGAGCTGCTGGACTTTCGTCAGTGTTCCTCTGGTCTCCTATTAACCCCCCACCTTTTTTTGGGCTCCATAGTTTGTCCCTACAATTGTGTGCTGAGAACATGTACCGGGGTTTGGGGGGCACTGAAGAAGTGGGCAGTGTGGTTAGTGAGAGGAGGGGAGGCTGACGTTTCCCAGGGGAAGGTACCACCTGCCTAGCACCTTCCATCAGCTTGTTTACCTCCAGTGGCTTCTAGGAGGGGTCAGTTATCTCTGCACTGAAGGATGTAAGCCATACTCCTGGTGTGTTGATGGGAAAAGGGGGGACATTTGGGAAAGGGGCTGAGTCAGCTCTGGGCAGAGGGGAATATTTTTTTTTTTTTTTTTGCTTGACAGGTCAGTATCAGACGCGAGGCATGCCCGGGATCTATTTAGCAGGCTTCAGAAGCGCAGGGAACATGGGAGAGGACCACGGCTAAGGGTTCAGCCCATGAGATGCCTCCTCAGATCTCCTCTCAGGCCACTGAGAATCTAGAAAAATACAGTATTGATGGTGACCATGGACCATGTTGTCCAGAGCCCAATTTGACCTGTATAGAGATAAAGGCTTTGATTCTTCAAACTTTTGTTCCGTGGTGGATCTTTCTTGACATTTTCCTAATTCCTGGATCTTTCCTTTCCTTTTTTTTGTTTTTTGGTCTGACAAAACTAGACATCTGCACGTCCCTCCTGTTTACTCAGATACTCACAGATATAATAAAATAAATTTAAATATTAAAGAGAAAACACAAAGATACTTGGAATAAATGTGCATTTTAAAACCCCAACTAAAATATCAAAATGATGATTATGATAATAATTACAATGGTAACAACCAAAATAACTAGAACAATAATATCTTTATGAGCAGCAAGAAACTTTCACTCCTGATCTGGAAGAAAAGGAAAGAAAATGTCAGGTGAAAGAGCAACTTCCAACCTAAGTAGACAAAATAATTTTCTTTAAAATGGAAGGCTATGTTGTCTTTTCCTATAAAAGATCAGATCTAGAAAGGGCTGTAAGTGAACTGTACAAGAGGGTCCAGGATGCTACCCAATAAAGCAAAAATGCTGGCTCCTTTGCAGCCAAGACTTCTGTAACTGGGTGCGGGAAGATCGGACGGGGCACTGCTGCCCTCCGGATGCCAAGAGTCCAGAACAGAGATGGTTCCCCAGGCTGGCGCGGCTCTGGGAGCTCACATGTCCTCCAAAGACTTTCCTCCCCTCACTCTCTCTGGACGGGCCATGTTTCTGTTGTCTCAGAACGACGGCACTTCCCCATGTCCGGATAAAGACGTATTGATCGTGGCACCACGAGGACAGAATCTTGTCCTGTTGCCAATGGCTCCCCGGTGGGCCCGCTGGGTACCTGGGGCTCTGCCCGAGCTTGCCCTGCCTCGAGTGGGACATGGTGTCCTTCCTTCCTTCCGGCCTAAGGCTGGGACTAGGCTGGTTCCAACCTGGGGACCGATTTCTTTGTAGGGTAAGTAGAATTTATGCTTGGAGAGGGGAAATTTCCAGAGTTATTTCACATTTCACAGCTAAGAGCTAAGGTAAGGGCTTGGCTTCGTTACTGAATTAGGTCAGATATCACGATAAAAACACCTTTCACAGTAGATCGATCGTAAAGGGAGACCACAGAACGAGGACAGAAAGTGAGGGAGGGTGAGGACGGACTTCTGTCTGAAACTGAGAGCCGTCTCTCTGCACCCTGGAAACTTGGCTTTGGGGTCAGTTAAGGACTCGGCATCAAGAATCAAACAATTAGGACCACCCTTTCAAGTCCCACTGATGACCAGATAGCGTTTCCCAACATTCACGTATTTTAAGAATAATTTGCTATGGACAGAGTGACCCCTCTGCCCTCATCCCCACCAGTGTTCAAAGCCTGAGAAAAATTTCAGAATGTATCAAAGGTGCAAAGAGGGCAAAGGGCAAATTTCCTTGGAAACTGAACTGCCCATGGGAGTGTTTTCCAAAGTGCAGTACAGGACTACATGGTTACCCTCATAAATGTCCCTCTAGCCTCTGCCCACCAGACTCCTCAAAAACCAAAAACGAAGGCGTTCCTTGGGTAGGCCTGGGTAACTCGAGGAACGATTCAGCAGCAAACGACGGCTGATGGCTGTCTACAGGGGGAAGGACGCGGCAAAACGGTGAGAGCAAAACACAGCTGGTGGAACCAGAGGAGAGGGGGCAGGGCTGCGAGAGTGAAGCGGGGCGGAGGGGGGGGGCGCGAGTCTGAGAACACGGGGCTGGGCCCGCTACCAGGCCTCCTCTCTCCTCTCCATCCCGCGGACAGCAACAGGAAGGCTGTGCCAGGGCTGGAGGCTGAAGGTGGCTCCTCTCCTTTGATGCTTCTACATCAGGAAGGAGGCGGCTGCCCGGCAAGGCCAACATTCCTAAAACACAGATGGGACCTGCGGTCCCAACGAATGGCAGAGCCCCTGCCCTCCCAACCCTGGGGGCAGAACTGGGTGAGGGTACAGGGTGGGGAGTCTCTCTTGCTCTGTCTCCAAAGTAAAAGTCATCCAAAGCCATCACCATCGTCAGATTCACCCACCACCATCCATCTCGCACATCTCTCTCCAGATCCATGGGCTCACCTAGCCCCTGCCAGCTGCCTGACACCCCTCTGCTAGCAAACAGTCCAGGAAAGACAACAGGTATTAAAATAAAATAGAAATTAAACAAACCAAAAAAAAAAAAAAAAAAAGAGGAAAGACCAGAGTAAAATGTTGCAACAGCACAGAAGAAGGGCTGAGATGATGTGACTCGCCTCAGCCGGCTTCTTGGAGTACCGTGGAAGTAAACCCTCAACCGCGTCCCCGGTCGCTAAGGCACTAGGAGGGAAAGATGTAAAACCAAGTCTGCGAGAGCCGGCGGCGGTGCCGGGGACAGGAGCGCGGCACCGCGGGCACCTGCGCGTGCACCTGGACCACGGCGCGGGTCACGTGCCTAGGTGAGATCGCTCTTCTTGTGCAATTACATTGAGGAATAGTCTCTTGGTATCGTTGGGGGTGAACACAAAGTAGCACAGACAGGTGCAGACTGCGACATCTACCAGGGTGTCGGCGACGCCGCGGGCCCTAAGCTACGTGACGAGGGATGCACTCAAAGAGAAAAGAAATCTTCAGAAAAGAAAAAAAACATTAATGACATTTGAGGAATATCATTGCTTAGGGATTTATCCAGAGTGCTCAGAAAGAGAAAATGTGCCCTCCTCTCCCAGGGGTCCTCCTTCAGCCCGGCTGCCCCCATTGCTCCCAGCAAGTGGGCCAGATCGGGGCTTCCCCAGCCCCGGACCCGCCCCCAGATACCAGCCTCCTCCGGCCATGGCCTGACCTTTCTAGACGGTTGCTGACCCTTTAGAGTTCTGGAAAAATCCCTAATTCTTACGTTCAATCATTAAAAATCTATTGGATTTTTAATCCAATAGATTAAAACTCGTATCAGGTGTCCCTGACAGCAAATTCTTAAACGCCACTTGCTGCCATATGAAAATAATCTTTGAAAAATTCATAAAGTTCTTCAAACACTGGGCGCCCCCCCCCCCAATTTCTGGAATCTTCCGTGGCTCTCTTCTTCTCCTTTCCAGTCTGGTGCAGAATGGGTTCGTGAGCTGTGGTTTTTTGTTACTGACGTTTTCTTTTTTTTTCTTTTTCTTTTTTAAAATAAAAAGCATAGATATCCCCCCCTCCTTAAATCCCTTCCTTTTTAAAATGTTCTCTTCTCCGCTCTCAGTCCTCCTACTTCCTAGTTCAAGTTTCATTTGTGTCCCGTCCCTGCCCTCTGCTCCCCTCCCCTGCCCCGTTTGCATTGTTTCTGTGCGGAACCTTCAGTATAAAAAGCCCAGCTCCCCCCTCGTCCCTCCTCCTCTCCCTCCTACCCTCTGGCCATCCTCCCTCCCCTCCCCTCCCCTTCCAGTGTTTATATGTAAGGGTACTGGTTGACCTTGGCGGGGCTCAGTGGGTATCCAGTGTAGACGGTGGAGGCTGGAGAGGCGCTGATGTAGGTCTGGTGGGCGAACTGGGCTGGATACTGACTCGGGTGGATGGTGGGCGAAGGCAGGACCCGGGGTCCCATGCTCACGGGGACCTGGTGGACGATGCTGGCTGGGTAGGCGGCGTGCTGCACGGTGTGACGCGCCGAGCCTTGGGAGGCCACCAGGTGGGCCACGGTGCCAGTGGAGCCCAGGGCGGCGGGCGCCGTGTAGGTGTAGAGGTGGGGCTGGGCGGGGAGGTGGGCGGCGGCGGCCAGGTGCGGGTGCACGGTGCCGTGGCTGGGGCTGTTGTGTGGGAAGGAGTATGGCGCCTGGGCCATCGTGGGGGTGATGTAGGCCTGCTGCCGTCGGTGGCTCCCCGTGCGATCTGCGGTGATGTGCTGCTGAGCCTGGAGGGGAGAAGCACCAGGAGAGGGCTGCGTCATCAGGGCTGGACACGCGCACGCATGCGCACCACACGGGAGAGACCGCGAGGGGCGGGGGAGAGGAGGGAGAGGCGGGGAGTGCGGAGGAGAGCAAGGTGGGGAGGAGGGGGCGGGGGGGGGGGAGGCGGAGGGAGAGGAGCGGCAGGCGTAACAGAAGACGTCTCCCTCGCGCGCCCGCGAAATGTCAATTAGCCTGGGCTGAGAAGGAGAGCCGTGCCCAGCCATGCTCCGGGCTGGGTGACACTCAGAGCCAGATGCAAAGGGAACGGGAGCCAGTAGGTCCCCCAAGGGCATCCTGCAGCTGTGAAGGGTCGAAAGGAGCCCCTTTCTCTCTCACTGTGAAGTCCTGCTCCCTAAACTTCAGGCTCTCAGACACTTCGCTGTCTGAGGTCACAGGTACACAGGAAGCAGCCCTCTCTCACCTGGAGAACCTAAGTCATGACACGGACGCGGCCTCGGTTTACAGCCAGGGGCACCGCTTCCGATGAAGGGCTTCTCAACACAAACTCCCCCTTATCTTACCTCTGAGCTTCTAAGGAAACAGGGCCCGCAGTCCACTTTGCAAGTCAGACCTGAGTGACCCTCTACACACAGGCTGAGCGCTGCCCGTGGAGACTCTGTCTTGTTTACATTCCCCCTGAATGTCACCCACCTTCTCCGAATCCTCCGGCTCTTTTCCTGGGTTTGAGGTCCCTGTGGGAGGCCTCCTTCACTGTAATGACTCACTAGGCCCAGCACGGTCAGACTATGGGACCCAGACGCAGTGTTTTACCCTTTGCTGGGCCGAAATAGCAAGACGTGGGCCAGCCTATTTTAAGCTCTGGCACCACGTCACTAAGTGCTTCGGAGCATCAGACGAGTCATTTTGCTTTGGGCCGGCTCTCTGTGAATCGGGGATCCGCCTCCCCCAAGGTGACCCACAGCAGAACGAGAACAACAGAGGTCACTCGGGGCGCCTCCTGCCGCCACGGGAGGGGCTGGATCTCCGGGAGGTGGGCAAGGGTCCACCCTGGTGCCCCTGGCGAGGGGCCGTCGGGCGGGCTTACCTGGCTGAGATTGAGAGGTCGCTGCTGCCGGTAGGCACTGGCTCCAGATGAGCTCCCTGAAGAGAGACCGCTGGTGGAGGTCACGTTGCTGGAGGACTTGGACTTGTAGGAGGACGAGTGGTGACTGGTGGTGACTGTGTTGGGAGGAGGAAAAGGTCACAGGTCCGTCACAGGCCCTCAGCTGCCCGGAAGACCCTACTCCTTGGGGGACAACAAGTGGTCTTCCAAGAACCCTTTCCCGAGACTGGGTGATCACCATTCAGCAGCATTGCCCCCAGACCCGGTGACGATGCCAACTCTGGGCTGGCACCTGGCCTGCGGCTTGGGAGCAAACCCTGCTGGATTTTAGAATTACTATCTGGTGACACCGAAAAGCATAAGGAGAGTCTAAGAGACAGAAGGAGAGCTCTCTGCAGCTCGTGTCCCAGCCAGGGGTGCAGCGGGGGGCCATCTGCCGAGATGCAGAGACACGCTGACAGATGCAGCAGCGTACAGAAAACCGAGTCTCAAAAGATGGACTACATGTCCCAGGGGGAGAAACAGCCGGAATAAAATGAATAGGGCGAGGAGGTTTATATTAACCCATTCGCGTCAGTTTCGGTGCTGAGTGGTCTGTGAACACCAGCTCCTGGCAGGGTGCGGCTCGTGTCTCCAGGGGGCACAGGCAGAGGGCTGTACACCCGGGTACAGGATGTGCGGAATCAAGTGCGACTGTTCGCCTGCCTCTCAGTGTCTCTCTTGATGTCAGACGTTTCTGTGCTGAAGCTCTGTCTAGATCAAGAGGAAGTGATCCACAGTGACTGCCAAGAAGCCTTTGGCACAGGGAATCTGGACATCCGCCAAAACCTACGTTGTCCTCCGCAGACTCCCCGACTCTAAAACCACTCACGTTTGAGGGAGCTGCCCAGAGTGGGGAGTTCAAGAGGAGACCCTGGTAGCTGAGGGAGAACCGGCAAGACATACACAGGACCTCAGAGGCAGGTCTGTTTCTTGTGCTGTTCAGCAGAGAATTCAGAAGATTTCCTGGGGCTGAGCATCGTTGGGAAACACAAAAGCCTAATACGGTATCAGTCAGGTACCCTGGGGTCGCGAGCGTAAAATGGGCAAGTCTGGCAGCTCTTGGGGGTGAAGGATGCTAAGAACGAACGAAGCACACGTAATAAGGATCAGGCCCTTGACGTAACTGGGTTGGATCAATTCTGTTACGAACCCCAGGGTGATGAGATCAGGGTCAAAGAGGAGCCGCGTGAGGCTGGGGCCGGCAAGAGAGAATGCTGATAATTGTTGAAGGAGAGAAAGCTGAAAAGTGAAGGCAAACCAGAAACCGGGGGACAGGAGACCGGGGAGCACAATGAAGTCAAGGGGAGCCTTCTGCTCCCTGAGGCCACAGTCCCCCTCAAGTAAAGGGAGAGCTGCCTCACTGGGAAGGGGGCAGCGCCCTAACAGAGACCCCAAATCCAACCGTGGTTTGGGGCCCAGCGGCCCTCCCATCCTACCCACTGAAGCGCACCCCAGTCGGGGGGTGCCCAGGAATTCGTATCCTTCACAAGCTTCCCAGGAGAGCAGGAGCCAGCCAGCCAGGCCTTGGTGGACACAGCTGACCTGCATTGTGGAATCGGGGTCTGGTGCTCAGGCCAAGCTTGGTTAGACTCTCAAAGGCCCTCCAAAGCCTGGGGGGCAGAGGGCGGGGTTCGGGGGACCCACTGTAGGGTGAGGGATGCAAAGCTGCAAATGCTGCCTATCAGGAGAACATTGTCTCCGTCGATCAGCCATGGTGCCACCGTGCAGGCATCCAACCCTTCCTGCCCTGCAGCGCATCACCAGCTGTGTCTGCTGCCTGGGCCCAGCTGTGAATGGCACCTCTCTGCTCCTATTTCAACTCTCTGGGCATTTTGCGGTAATTATATTTGAGGGAGAAACTCTGAGTGCAAGGGATCCACAGCGTGAGGCTGCAAGTGAAGAGATTAGAGGGCTTCAGATGAAATGGGTGTGAAAGAGCCAGGCTACCGTCATCGCGGGGACAGGAAGTGGGACAGGAACTTGTCAAGTTGCCAGAGCAGGGGACCCCAGAATCAGGGAGGGAGTCCCGAAAGGGACCAAGAGATTAAAATAGTAATTTCCTCCTGCAGAGAAAGTGACCATGGAGTGGAGAAGGCAAGTGCTGAAGGTCAAGTTCCTGAGGCGTATTTCGGAGCTGGGAGGACAGTACAGAGCTCTCTGCTCGAGCCTTGCCTAGCTGCTCTCATAGATCTGCTGCCCGGCAACAGCCCTGGGTTCACGGATGGCCCCTGGTGGCCCTGTCTGAACAAGGCAGGTGGGAGAGTGCTTCAATCCTGGGTGAGCCCTGGAGGAACAGCCGCATGGCCGTGGTGGAGTTAGTTAACCTCTCTGTGCTTCCATTTTCTTATCTGGAAAACTGGGAAAGTAACAGTGACTACATGTAGGGTCGTTGTGGGGATTACGTGAGTTAATGCACGTAGAACACTTAGTATCTGGCTCATGTTGAGCCCTTAAAGGTGTTAGCTGTGTTAACTACGGTTGATGTCTTTATTAGTGCCCTGTCCCCTTGCCAAAGCAATGCTCGAGGTACAGGTGTCTGCCTCAAGCTGGGACCAGCAAGTTCTGTTTCCTGGGACTGGGAAACTGGGAGCCCGGGGCTCACTGGGTCAGGGTGAAGCAGGGTTCAGAGAGCAGGTGTCGGGCCCCCAGTGGCTCAGACCAAGGAGTTCTGGTTCCTGTCCCGCCTGGGACTTAGTTGTTGAACTTTCTCTCAGCCCTGCACCCTTCCAATAAATTCCTTATTTGCCTTAAGGCACTGCAGAGTTCACTCTGTTGCCTCCCAGAAGAACCTTAACTGACCCAAGAGACTCGAGGAGGCTACGTGAGAAACAGGGATCCTTCCTGAGCTGAGACCCACAGAGGGGATTAGCAATGACAGAAAATGGACCGTCACCTGCACAGCCTCCGTCCTGACCTGGGGGGCTCAGGGAAGCCTGGCAGCCCAGCAGAGGTGGCTGAAACGCTTCTCACCTTGGCCGTAAATGGGCCAGCGGGGCCCCAGGAGGCTGAGGAAGGCTGCTTTGCTTGATTTCTCCAAGCCTAGGACGACTGAGCTAACGGAGAATATCAGCGTTGAGAAGGACCACGTTCTGGGGGCGGACAGGCACCAGAATGAAGTTCCTTCCCGCCCCTTGCCTGTCACTAGAAAGACCGTGCAGCGTGTCCTCACAGGGGAACATAAATCTCTCCTTCCATTGGGAAACTATACCATGGGCTTCCCCAGAGACAGTGGCACTAGGTGCCTTAGAACCAGCTGCCTTACTGAGAATAACCTTCTTTTTTTTTTTTGGTTGAAAACATCCCTGAGAGATTCTCAGCCCTTCAGCTGTAGCAGTCCTTGTGGAAACGCATTGGGGTGAGTGCTCAAATCCGCCAGGGGCGGCCCACAGCCCGACGGCTGATGGTGGAAACGGGCAATGGAGCGTGAAAGGCGTGACCTGTGGGCTCCACAGAGCTGCCTCCCCGCCTCTCGCCGTCGTGGTTCCCCACAGAAAACTGTTGCGTTATGTGGGACAAAGCTGGCCCTCAGTCCCCTGACCTGTCTTAACTAGGGGGTTGGACTAGTCTTAAAATTTCAGTAGCTCTCAATTTTGTCACCTTCCGCATTGTGGCGCCAGCACCCGGGCCGACAAAGTTCCGAGCTGAAGACATCGAGCCTGCGGCGATCTGGCCGCTGCCTCGTGCATCCTCCACCGTACTTAAAAGGCCAAGGGAAATTCAGCACCAGCTACCTTTCCCCCCGCCTTTATCAATTCCTAGAGGACCTGCATAAGGTCTATCCTGAGTCAATTCTTATAGACCATCGTCCTGAAGTGTAAAGGGACCGTTACTATTACAGAGTTCCCCTGACATGTCCTGGAACATGGGCATCCTCGATTTACAACATGCATCGTCTCCTCCTGTAGGTCTACAGTCTCTGATCTGAAATCCCTGGTGTCACTTTTTTTTTTGTGTGTGCTGCACTGCGTGGCTTGTGGGATTTGAGTTCCCCGACCAGAGATCGAACCCGGGCCCTCGGCAGTGAGAGCGCAGAGTCCGAAGCACTGGACCGCCAGGGAATTCCCTGAAATCCCTGGGGTCGGACACTTTTGAAATCAAGAATTTCCGATTTTAGAAGGTCATGTGGTATATATTCAATATATTAGGTTACCCCCAGTGGAGCCCTGTGCACTACCACGTAATTAAAAAAAAAGTGATTATTTCTGCTACAGAATACTGGGACATTTCACCAAGGGGCACAAATATGACTCTGACACAAACAGGAATATGACAAAGGGACTATAAATCGCCTCTGGTTAGTTCAGGTCAGGTTTTACCGACTGACTTTACTGTGAACTTAAAAATCTGGTTTTTGGAGCATTTTGGATTTTAGATTACAGATGAAAAGGAATTTTCCTTCTCCTCCTGTTCGGTAAAAGGGCTGGTCTTGAGGTTTTCCACAACACAGTCTTGAGACCTTCACCGTTATTTAAGCAGGAGAGCCCTTCACACCAAGCTGTGTGCACTTAAGGCTGCGATCTTTATAACTGGGGTACGTGCGGGGCTACCTGAGGACCTGAGGGTGCACGGCAAGCAGAGGTTTGAGGGGTCAATGTCCAGAGTCTCACCTTTCAGATGTATCTTTTCCTAAACAGATGCACCGGCCCTGGGACCCACCGGTTCCCTTACTCGCCTTCTCTCTCATTCACCCTTCTCCCATATTACAAAAGAAAGGCTTCCTTCTCACTCTCTTGGATGTTAAAATGGTGCATTGCCTCCAGGTGTGAGAACCCTAAGGGTCGCCCAAATGGGATAATTCCAGAACAAATGGCTCCTGAAGGACAGTCCCGTGAGAGCAAAGACAAGCCCCTCTCAGTAGGAAACACTGAGGGCTGACCAGGCGTGTTTTCTTTCGCTCAGGCAGCCAACTCTTTGCAAACTCCCTACCCCATCCATCCATCCATCCATGAGATACAGTTGAGAAGTGAGGTGGCCATCCCAGGGAGGACTTTCTCTGACAGGTGTGAGGTCAGCTCTGGCCTCCTGGGCTGACAACAGGGAGTCTTCTTGAACAGGATCCTTGGGTGAGGATCTACTACCACCCGGGGCTTAGTAGTTCTCCCGTAACAAGATGGCGAACAGCAGGGAACCAGAAAACCAGCCTCTGGAGAGATGCTCCTGGCCGCCCCGGCCCCAAATTACCTGGCCCCAGGCTGTCACACTCCACCAGCGCCTCGCTGGCCTGGGTTTTCAGGGGCGGCACGATGATGGTCCGGGGGTTCCCGGTGCAGTGCGACTCCAGGTTCCCCTTGGTGTCGAAGGTGGCGGCGCTGTGCCCGGAGCGGTGCTGCACGGCGTAGGGGCTGGTGATGCTAGAGGAATCGGAGTAGGGAGAGTCGTGGACCGTGACACAGCTGATGACGTTTTTTCTCTGCTTGGACACAGGGCTGGAGACGGAAGGGGAGAAAGCAGGACTGTGAGAGGGTGGGGAGGGAGACACCAAACTGATGGCGAAGAGCCTCTCTGTGCTCTGGGGCAGGGGTGGGGACAGGCAGAGCCGGAGACGGGGTGGGAATGTGACTTCTGCTCTCCAGAACCCTAGCGGGGAGGCACAAGTGTCACCAGTCTGACCAGTGGGGGTGGGGGAATATGTGAGGATGGGAGAAGGGGCTGGAGGGGGGCCCACAGAAGCTTCTGGAAATGGGGGCAAGAGAAACTTCTGGGCAGGCCTGGGCTGTCCCCTGTGCAGCCGGGCTCAGCTGACCTACCGGGGAGGTGCGTGCAGCACAGAGCTGTGTGGCAGTGCCCTCTGAGCCACCGGAAGGGGACACGAAAGCAAACAGAGAACCCAGCCAGACCCAGGCCACCTGAGGCCCAGGCGTAGGAGAAAAACACCGCCGGGAATGGAACAACATAAGCTCGTGAGGCTCGGGACCTGGAAGACCCAGCCAATTTAGGCAGGAGGGAACAGGACATCCAAGAGGAACCGGGACGCAGTGAGAGGGACGGGAGAGAGTGAGGCTCTGAGCACGCTGATCCCACACACAGCAGCGACCCAGGACCTCTGAGTCCCCTTCTCAGGAGAGGCCCGGTCCTCCTGCAGCTTCCCCTCTGCCTGGCCGGCGATGGGGTGGGGGACCGACAGGGTATCTGGGTGAGGGCAGAGGCGCTGAGTCTGTGAGGGCGCGGCTCTGAATCCCTGGTCTCCGTCCTACAACTGAGACTTGATACGCTGACACCAGGAGGCATCAGGAGGAACTGGCTTTGGATGGCTCTGGGCCAGCACATTTTTTCCGGAGATATTTATGTTTGGTTCCTTTGGGAACCCATTCTGTCTGCCTCCAAGCTAGTGAGAGGCTGGTGCGATGACGAATATGGAATTTGTTGCTTATTGGGAAGGTTTTAAAAATGGATTTTCATCTATTTTTGTATATTGATCGTCTATTTTTAAGAAATATCTATTGCCTAAATAAGACGGTCAGTTTGCAACTACTCTGCTAAGAGAAGAAGCTGGTATTTATAGAGCACCTAGCGCAGCCGCAACATCCCCTCCAGGTGTCTTGCCCAAGGTCACACAGTCCGCCACAGGCCACATTCCAAGATCAATCCTACCACCACTAAGGGCGGCAGAGAAACGAGGGAACTCGAGCCCCAGGAAGTGGGAGGACAGCAGGGCTGCCAGCCTACAAAAGGCTGAGGGGCTGGGAGTGAGCCTGCAGGGGGCCTGACGCCCTGCTCCCTGGACCCTGCCCTGCTGACATCTGGGCCAGATAATTCTTCTGGGGCTGCATATTCTGTCCTCCCCGGTTCAGGGTAGAAGGGTCCCTCCCTAACTGTGTCTGTGGATAAGGACACACGCCTGGCAGACAGATGTCTAACTTCAGCATGTGCTGGTGGTGTAGCTTTTCAACCTCTGAGCAGTTCAGTCTCCTTATCAGTAAGATGTATATTAATAGTACCTATGTCACAGGCTTGTTTTGAGAAGTGAGAAAATACATGCAAAGTGCTTTGGATGGTGCACTTACCATTTATAGTAAGTATACTGTAAAAACTAGCTTCTAGATGAATGAATAAAGAAGATGTGGTACGTGTATATAATGGAATATTACTCAGCCATAAAAAGAAATGAAATTGGGTCACTTGTAGAGACGTGGATGGACCTAGAATCTGTCATACACAGTAAAGTAAGTCAGAAAGAGAAAAACAAATATCGTATATTAACACATATATGTGGAATCTAGAAAAATGGTACAGATGAACCTATTTGCAGGGCAGGAATAGAAAGGCAGACGTAGGGAACAGACGTGTGGACACGGCAGGGAGGGGAGGGTGGGATGAACTGGGAGATTAGGTTTGACATAAATACACTACCATGTGTGAAACAGATAGCTAGTGGGAACCTGCCGTATAGCACAGGGAGCTCAGCCTGGTGCTCTGTGATGGCCTAGTTGGGTGGGATGGGGGCGGGGTAGGGGCGGGAGGGAGGTCCAAGAGGGAGGGGATGTATGTATGCATGTGGCTGATTCACTTCGCTGTGTGGCAGAAACTAACACAACATTGTAAAGCAACTATATTCCAATTACAAAAAAAAGCTAGCTTCTACCATGATTATTATTACTGTTACTTCATTTAAAAACAGGTGAAAACAGGTTTGCAAAAAACATCTCTAGGCAAAATGAATTCTATGAAGGTACATACTTGCTGGAAAAGTTTCTAGTCTAGGAATAAACCAGAGATTGATATGAAAGAAGTTAAAGCTCATCCGTTAGGTATCTTAGAGATCTACGCTAGGCGCTACAGGGAATTTCTGTATAAAGAAATATAATACACGTCTCCGCTCTTGGAGGAGATTAACATCTCAGTGGGGGACTGTATAAAAACATGACAAGTTAAACAGTAAAATCCTTAAAATAATCAGTTAAAGGGAAGGGATGTCATAAAGACTTCCACGATGAACTGCCAAAGGAGCTGTGATGATAATTAAGAACCCAAAAGAAGGCGAGGAATGAACTGATTGCATATATTTATAGTAAGAACTACACTTCCTACTTGTAACAGTTGAAACGCAAAAAGCCCATATGCTTGTTGCTCAAACATAGTTTGAGGTAAACAGTTACCGTATGACCCAGCAATTCTGCTCTAGGTTAAGTACGAAAAGGAACTGAAAGCAGAAACTAACAGATACTTGTATGCTAATGTTCACTGCAGCATTATTCACAATAGCCAAAAGGTGGAAATAACCTCAGTGCCCATCAACGGATCAATGGATAAACAAAATGTGATATAGCCACGCAATGGAATATTATTCAGCTATAAAAACGAATAAAGTTCTGATACATACTACAATATGGATGAGCCTTGAAAACATTACGCTAAGTGAAATAAGCCAGACACAAAAGGACAGACACTGTGTGATTCCACTTATATGAGGTTTCTAGAATAGGCACATTCATAGAGACAGATGTAGATTAGAGGTTACCAGGGGCTGAGGGAAGAGGAGTTTGGGGAGTTACTGCTTAATGGGTACAGAGTTTCTGTTTGAGGTGAATGAAAAGTTTTGGCAATAGTGGTGATGGCTGCACACACTGTGAATGTATTTAATGTCACTGAATTGTACATTTACAAATAGTTAAAATGGCAAATTTTATTATATATGTAGTACCACAACTTAAAAAATTAACGTAATAGGCCAAAACCCATTTAATTGTACACTTTAAATGGATGAACTGTATGGCACGCAAATTCTATCTCAAGTTTTTAGAAGTCCATATGCTTATTCAGAAACAAGAAAACAGGCTTCCCTGGTGGCGCACTGATTGAGAATCCGCCTGCCAATGCAGGGGACGTGGGTTTGAGCCCTGGGCTGGGAAGATCCCACATGCCGCGGAGCAACTAGGTCCGTGCACCACAACTACTGAGCCTGCGCTCTAGAGCCCGTGAGCCGCAACTACTGAGACTGCGTGCTGCAACTACTGAAGCCCGTGGCTCTAGGGCTCGTGCGCCACAACTACTGAGCCCACGTGCCACAACTACCGAAGCCCGCGTGCCTAGAGCCCGTGCTCCGCAACAAGAGAAGCCACCGCAATGAGGAGCCTGCGCACCTCAACGAAGAGTAGCCCCCGCTCTCCACAGTTAGAGAAAGCCCGCGCGCAGCAACGAAGACCCAACACAGCCAAAAATAGACAAATAAAATAAATTTATATATATATATATATATATATATATATAGAAATATATATATAAAAGGAAGCAAATGGTATCATTGGGGAGGGGACGACTGAGATCTGGCAGAAGAACTAGAAAGTGGGGCGCCAGGGAAAGACCCCATGCCTGGAAAGTAGGGACAAGGGACCCAAGGGCAGCAGGAATTGTGGAAAGCTGTGAAACTGGGAGGAACCCTGAGAGGAAGGAGAGCCGCCTTAAAAAGCATAGACACGTCCTGGCTATTGTAAATGGAGCTGCAATGAATGTAGTGAGGTGGATGGACCTAGAGTCTGTCATACAGAGTGAAGTAAGTCAGAAAGAGAAAAACAAATACCGTATGCTAACGCATATATATGGAATCTAAGAAAACAAAAAAAGTCATGAAGAACCTAGGGGTAAGACGGGAATAAAGACACAGACCTACTAGAGCATGGGCTTGAGGACACGGGGAGGGGGAAGGGTAAGCTGTGACAAAGTGAGAGAGTGGCATGGACATATATACACTACCAAATGTAAAACAGGTAGCTAGTGGGAAGCAGCTGCATAGCACAGGGAGATCAGCTCGGTGCTTTGTGACCACCTAGAGGGGTGGGATAGGGAGGGTGGGAGGGAGACGCAAGAGGGAGGGGATATGGGGATATATGTATATGTATAACTGGTTCACTTTGTTATAAAGCAGAAACACACACACCACTGTAAAGCAATTATACTCCAATAAAGATGTTAAAAAAAAAAAGCATAGACAGGTGAAACCTGTAACTGCTTTCTGTGGGGGGGGGGGGGGGCGGGGCCAGTCTGCGAGCCACGCGGTTAAAGGAACGCCCAGCCCTCCACCTCCACCCCCCCCACCCCCCCCCCACGGGCACCATCACAAAACGCTCCCCGGACCAGGGTCAGCGCCGGAGGCCATGAGCATGCAGCTCCAGGTGTCCTGCCCTTCACTCTCAGCTTCGGTCACAGCCTGCTGCGCCCCTGGTTAAATGACACACACACAGTGACGCATCTGGTCACCTCACGAAACGCAGAAATGTTCTGCTGCAGATGCATGGCCTGTGGGGGGCGGACCCCACGTGAAGAGCAGAGGCTGGCTGCTCCCAAGTGTGTCCTGGGAGCTCGTGCTCTAGTCCTGGCGCTGCTGTCCATTTATTGGTGTGACCTCGGGCAGTGGCCTGGATATTGGGGTGACCCTGGATGTCCCTCCAGCTCTAACCTGCTATGACATCCGTTAGGGAGAGTGGCCTTA